GGATACTTCATCAAAATGGTGGTACGTATTAGTCATAATTATTTTTTTAAATTTTATTATCTCATTTAAAACATAATAAAAATTTGTTTGTTGTTGTGGAAAAAATAAAGAATAAAAAAACAATTCGTAAAAATCAGTTTTGATAATCTTATCTGGTTTTTAACATCAAACGTAGTAATGGTAGCAGCCTCTCTACGCAACAGTTCAATCTTTTTACGTTATGCCTTCGGGAAGGTCGCGTACTTTTCCATTCCGGTGACGACTCTCGCTAAAACTCGCTCGATTAAAACAAAAAAAAAACAAATTAACGCACTTTTGCGAAATTTCAAAATATATTTTTAGGTTAAATTGTTTAACAAACTACTCCAATTCATTAATTTATTTAATAATTAGGACAAATTTAAATTATCGCTTTACGACCTTGAACGGTATTTTTGACAATATGCGCACGCACTCTAAATTGTTAGGTTAGGATGTAATGTCAACTGTCAATAAATGTTTTTATTTTATTATTAGGTTAGTTTTAGTAGGATTTTAAATCTTTTAAATTAATCGTCATAATTTTTAAGCTTAATAATTACTCTAAATTATTTCAAAATTAGAAACGCATATTTAAATTTATCACTACGATTACCTTGAACGTGATTGGTTATATGTGAAGTGCGCGCGCACATAGTTGAGGTAGTACATCGACAGAACAATGAAAATTATTAATTAAATAACCCTCGATATTTAAATAACATTTATCATAAACAAAATTATAAAAAAAAAATTCTACTTGAACGAAATAAGTAGATTTGCAAAATTTACGTCAAATTGACGTTTTAGGTTATTTCCTATCGAGACTACCAACTCAAAAGAAAATAAAAATATAAATTTGTTGAAAAATTTGTTAATAAATATTAAAAACTGTAATAGTAAAACCAATCAAATGAATGAATGAGAATTTTTGTATCAAACATGAATTTTAATAAACAAATTTCATAATTGTGAACGTCACGTTGGTATTTTTGCGTCATTTTTTAAGGGGAATATTGGAAAAAATCGTCAATAGGAACGTCATCGTAGCGGAGAAAACGTGCTCGGCGCGTGTAAATCGACCTTGAACGTAAAAACTCTCTGTGTCTGCTATCAATGGCAGATATAGACATTTTTACAATGGCAAAACAAAAGATAACAATGAAACAATCGCTTCAATCATCAAGATAACGAAGAATTAAAAAATATGATTTATTTCTTAAATAAAAGAAAAATTGGTAATGATGACTTAACAATTCTTACGGAATCGATAATTTATGTGTTAGATAAAAAAATAATTTTAAATTGACCGGTTGAAACAAACATAGCCTTAAAAAGACGTTGAATCGTTTTGTTAACGAATCTTTAACTTACATCGTGATGACGCACATCCCTTTGGTCGATATTTTTCCTATATTTGTAGGTATAGGTGGAGATGGCGTTGGAAAAAAAATGAAGAGTGGGGGGAATTGCTCTCTTACTGACGTCACAACGTCGCGGCGCCTCGAATAGACGCGTCCATTCACGATCATCGTCGACCTCGTGCTCCGTGACTAAATAACGTGGCATGTAAACCATTTTATATAAATATATTGTTATATTAAGATTAAAAATGTCAAAATTAACAATGTATATTTGAAATAAATTGGTTTTAAATAAAACAAATTATCTTAAAAAGGATTTGGTGAGAGAATATTGTAGCGTTTTTGTTATCAATAAAATAACATATATTTATTGGGTTATCAGTCTCGGGGCAATAAGATAAGATTGAACCTGCATGAATATTGTGTTACTTATATGTATAATATAGTTTCCTCTTTTTTTTTCGAGTAAATATATTTCATTGTTAAAACGTGATGTATAAAAAAAAAATTGATGATGTTTTTAAATGACGACTTGAAGCGGTTTTTCGTCCGGGAATAGCCCGAGAGAGATATTCTAAGTATTCAAACTTGTAAGAGGGGGAGTCTAAATTTAAACCCTTTCCGAGTGACGAAAATCGAACTCTGGATGATGAGTCACGTTTTACTTCCGACGAGTTTAGCTGTACACCTATTATCATTTAAATAAAAAAAGGTAACCTAGATAAATGTAACAATAAAGAAGTGAGGTTAGGGCAAAGCTCTCAAATTTATTTCAAATCTATCTACTATATATTGTCTAATTGCAATTAAATATAATGTTGATTGACGTAATCATTTTATTATAACTTAATTTGAATTAATTATAAATTGATTTGGGATTGTTATCACTTTAATATTTTACAATGACATCTCCCTTAATTCACTCTATATATTCTATGGTCACATAATATTAATGTCAAATTTGACGTTTAATTTTATTTTAGGTTATATTTTAGTTTTGACATTAAAAATGTCAATGTAATTTTTTACTGTATCTTAAAAATGAATTTGAATTACGACTTGTAAATTTCAATACCTTGTAATAACTCATATTGTTTGAAAATGAATATAAAGTGGACACATTCTAGTTGTAATTATGCAATAACGAAACTTCTTACGAAAGAAACGTAGCGGTTCTTTTAATAATATAATAAAATCGCGCTCGCATTACGTGTACGGTGTGTAAGCAAGAACTAACGCAATAAAACCGCAAAGTTCACGCTACACAATGATTAATGCTACCCAAGGGTTTTAAATCGATTAAAATTATTTTTCGCATTCATTTTTATTTTTGGCAAGGATGATATAAACATTTGAATTAGTAACCAGAAAAAAAATGTAAATATTTTTATTCTGTTTTTTTGGTCCCACTCGACGATCTGAGTAAGACGTCTTAAAATAAAAAAAATTAAACTTTCTATTTTTGTTGTTTCAGGAAGTAATAAGAAAATGTTAATAAGTAAAAAAAAACAAGAGTACTTGGAAATTCCCGTTTACCTTTATTAATTACTTATTCTTTTTTTTTAAGAAAAGGAATAAAACATTTTCAATAAAACCCAACAACTCACTGAGCATAAAATCATCCAGGATTTACCTTCTCACTTTAAACTATGACATCATTATTCATCGGAATCGAGTCAACATTTAAAACCAAATCGAGTCCGTTGTATTCATCGACTCATTACGTCCACATTTGGAGATTGAGGTAGTTGCAGTTGAGAGTGAAGTTTTTAGTTCCTGCACGAGATCTCCTTGAAGGTTTTTAGTTGCGTATGCGGACTACGATTGACGTAAAATGTAAAGGTGTGCGTAAAATATCTTTAAACAATAAAGAAAAACAAAAAATAATATTAAACTTACAGTCTAGTGTTAGTTCTAGTTTTGGTTCAATAAAAATATGTAACGCAGTAATATCTAGTGCTAAATAGCGCTACCTAGCACTATCATAAAAACTAATACTAGACCTAGAACTAGAATCATTCGGGTTTAGCCGCACGTCTCTCAAGACGGCTAAACCCGAATGATTCTAGTTCTAGGTCTATTGTTAGTTCTAGTTTTACATTAACACTGTCACTGGAACTAACACTATACCTAGAACTAGAATCATTTGGATAGAATGCAACCTGAGTTGCATTCTATCTATAGTACAACTTAAAAATAAATATTCGTTATACCGGGTGTCCCATCCGTTGTGGCTTTTTAAGCTTTTTTGACGTCTATGTTTCAAGATAAAAACTCCAAATTCGATATGTATTAAATCACCCTACTTGTGGTAATAAACCGACCGACCAGCTATATTCATTTTAAAATAAGTTTAATGTTAAGCCTCACCACTTACCTGGTTGGTTGGTTTATTACCCAACTGGCAATAAATGAGCGGCTCCTAGTCTGGGTCCACGATACCATAAATTTAACTGTCATTTAATTCTTCTTAATTTTTGTCCTAAATAATGAAAAATCGCTTTTTTTTTTGTGAATTTACTTTACTATGATCATATGGTATAATTTGACATTTTTGCAATTACTGGCAAACCGTGCAATAAAAAATTTATTTGATATGATCATCAACTGGCCAAGTAGGGTGGCTAAATATATATTGAATTTGGAGTTTCTATTTTGAAATTTAGATGTCAAAAAAGCCTATACCACAACCGATGGGACACCTGTATATTAAAAATATGAAATGATGCATTTGAAGATTAATTTAAATAATTTGAGATGAAACCTGAATGAGCCCTGAAAATGAGAATAAAATTCTAGAGAAGGGTTTTGAAACTTTCAACTACTACCTACCCTCTTCGATGACGTCACATCCATCTGTCGGTGCACGTGTCTTGATTTGAGTCATACCTCCGAAAAGGTACAGTCATTCAAAAAATAACACATCTTATCTGCACATTTTAGTAAAAAAAAATTGAAATCATAATAAAACAAAATAAATTTATATTGCAAAAAATTTATTTTATATACTATACAATAATATCATAATAAAGTACAAATAATAAAATTACGTAAAATTAACTCCTAAAACGGAGCCGTAAGTTTCTTTTTAAGAGATATACATAATCGACGATATTTTTTCATTAAATTTAATATTTACACAAAAAAAAGGTGGATTTTTTTTCATTTATTAAAGTTCGTCATCGGATCAAGGTAGCGAGCTGATTGGAGGAAGGGGATTTTTTGTTTCTTCTCAGTTTAGCACGTAACTGCGCATGTCGCCGTTTAGATGGCGTTGTTTCACGATCTAGAACGATCGAGTCTTGTCGACGACGAGTTATTTTTTTGTTTTCTCTGGAATGTTAGTGACTTTTCTAGGGTATTTTTTCATTTTTTACGGTGAAATGCGCAGTTGGCAACGTTTTTAAAACCAAATTTAAAATAAAATAATTTTTTAGTCGCACAAATTTAATTTAATGCCCGGATAAAATAAATTAAGAGTTTGAATGAATTAATTTTATTTTTCATCTTCAATTTGAGAGATCACTAATTTTTCATTTAAAATTCGTTAAGGCCTTCACGTGTTTGAATTTTTTTACATATCTCATCAATTTCGTTTTTTTTTTCTTTTCTTTTTAATTTGGTTACACGGTCATGGCAAGAAAGGGCCGCTGCTGTAGCACGTCATTACCTGGGTCTTTGGCTTGGGAAGAACACAAATCGGGAGTCGACATTGAACGCGTTAATTTTTGTTCACCACCACCTCCTCCGACACCAAAACTAAAAATCGACACCAACGAAGTAATTCGATCAATTTCCATCGCAGATCCGGAATTCGTCGTCGAATTTTCTTCTTTTTGCTGTTGTTCTTGGACCTCTTTAGAAATCGTTTCCGATAAAATCGTTGCATCATCGAGGAACACCGAATCATCGCCGTCTTCGGATTTACTTTTTTTCGGTAAAATTGATTGAACGGCTTCTTCCGTTTCCCAATCAGATACAGCTCTTCGTCGCTTTAAACAAGATGTTGGTGAAGTTGAGTTTCTTAATAAATTAGTTTTATCCAAATCCAAATAAGTTAATTCTGTTGTTGTTGCTGTTGGTTGTGTTGGTGGTGATGATGATGAAATAGGTGGTTGATTTTCTTTATTTTGATTCTCTGTACATTTTTCGCATGAGGACGGTTGTAAAAAATCTAAATTATTAGTTTCTTCGGCATTTCCGGGTGTGGGAGTCGGTTCGATTCCGACTTCTTCGGCCGTAACAGCCACGAGATCTTCTTGTTCGTCATTGTTGATCGTTTGTTGGTAAGAAATGGGCATCATTGGTTGAACGGATGTAATAGGTGTTTGATAATGGACCATATTATACGCTTCTTCCATAAAAATAAAACGAGCTTTTTGTAACACAGTTGCCACCAATAAATTTTTATGCAAACTAACTCCGGCTCTGTTCGTTCTTGATTGGGCGATCTTCGTCAACGAAATTCCAATCAACCTTTGCGCTTCACTTGCCATGTTTTATCTTCTATGAGTCACAAAGTTTTTTTATAACAATCTTAACCTCAAACACAAGAAAGGTGCGTCACTCAAATCACGATTTCGAAATAAAAAAAAATTAATGTTAAAGTTGGCCGTTTTTTCTCAATAAGTTTCGATTTTTTTATTTTAATTACGTTATGATCACGTTCGATCGACACTTTCTACTAGAATGCGGCTATTAACGTTCTCGGTTCTACTTATAGGTTCTCGAAATGACGTCACAACCTACTTTCAACGTGTCCGCGACCAATCGCGTCGCGTCCTTGTCGATGCGACACGAACTTAGGCGTCAACGGCCGGTCGATCGGTCGGTAAGGTCGAGACCGATACCAGTATTAGTTTCGATTTTCGACCGTATCGACGACGTTTATTAATAGCGGAAGTTGATGTCATGAAAAAATACGCCGTCAAGTTTGTGCGTACGCAACCGGACCAACATCAGCCGCGATTTCTTTGTTCACCTCTATCTTTTTCTATCTTCTTGAGAATTTTTTGAATATCAATTTAGCTTTTTTAAACTTTATCTCTTTTCATATGATGGGATTTCCACGATTACAAAATACATTGAAAGAGAGAAACGAAAAGTAGAAGTGAGGAAGATGAAAGAAAATGTTAGGTTAGGTTAGTATTGTGAATTTTTCTACCTGCCTACTCCTTTTTTTTTCTTATATATCTTAAATTTTATGTTAGGTCTTAAATATTTCATCTCAAAACTAATTTTTAAAGTTAAAACATTATAATAGAAACTTTTTTTTGTTGAAAATTGATACCTTATCTTATCAATTATCTTATCTTACTTTTTTACCACCAATTATTTTTATTGTTATAATATTATTACAAAAAGCAAAATTAAACTCGGATTTTATTTGACAGCACTTTGACACTTGAACATTTTTATTTGACAATACCTGTCAAAATTATAAAGTTGGCAACAATCAAGTTATGATTTGAAATCAGTTTATATCACATTGATGTTTAAATGATCGTTTTTAAAAAGAAGATTTTTAGCTTTATATTTATACAAAATTAATTAAAATAAATACTAAAGTGCAAATTGGAAATTATGGAAACGTTGGCTACGTTCTCCAACTGTCAACGTTTGCAAACGATTTACCTTGTCAAACGCAAACTATTCACGGTTTTATTACGGTGAATTTTGTTGGCAAACGTAAATGTACAAATTTTACGTTTACTAAAATGACGGCCGTTTGCAAACGTTAAAAAGTATCGGCTTTAGCCGTGCATCTGAAGACGGATTTAGCAGCACGTCTCTCAAGACGGCTAAACCAGAATGATTCTAGTTCTAGGTCTTGCGTTATTTCTAATGATTCCAGTCTAAAAATTAGAACTAACACTAGGCCGACAACTAGAAACATTTAGGGAGCGCTAGTTAGCATAAGATATTACTATGTTATATATTTTTATTAAATTAAAACTAGAACTAGCACTATCACTGGAACTAACACAAGACCTGGAATCATTCGAGTTTAGCCATACTGAGAGACGTGCGGCTAAACCCGTATGTTTCTAGTTCTTGGTCTAGTCTTAGTTCTAGTTTAACACTAGCACTATGACTGGAACTAACACTAGAACTAGAATCATTCGGGTTTAGCCATACTGAGAGGTAAGAGAGGTGGAAGTAGGATTTGTAGGGGCGTCTTGAATAAACTGTGAATATTGCTCAGAGCTTTAGTACAGCCTAGTAGTCAGCATCTAGGCTCTCCTCAAGACCCATTACCAACCTTTTGTGCCCCTCTAAATAATACCTGTAAAGTATAGTAATAAAAAAAATAAAGTATACTTATTATTGCTTTATTATTTTTTATAAAATCACAAAAAAAAACATTTTCTTTCACAATTCATCATGACTTTTAGAATTTTTTTTACTGGGAAATCCCCAAAATGAACTTGGAAAACCATACCCGTCCCTTTCCCGTTTCACAAACGCTGAAAACGAAGAAATGCAATTCCCGATAAAATGATTCGACCGTCCTAAAATAGCCAAATCGACGTGAGGATTATGTTGGGGATATTTAAAAATCCCCACATTGCTCTGCCTCAATCCTTCAGTTAGCTCCTCTAACATATAATTATTATCGGAAGCGATAAAAATCGATTTAATAACTTTGTATTTATCGGGATCGTGATTATATTTTTTGATTATTCGTTTTAACTGTCTTAAAATTAAATCTTTTGGTGGCATACACATTTCTGATGTGGCTTTACCGTGTTCATTTTGATAACCAAGACATTGTGGGGCGGCAAATAAATTGGGACTTTGTGGAATGTGGCTGCAAGCTCTTGTCCAATCAACGCCATTTCTTAAATGGATTCCGATAAAAGCACCTTTTGGGAGAACATTTTTTATAAAATCGTTTGCTTTTTGATCAATTAAATCTGACCATTTCAAATATTTATGTAATACTTTGTTTTCTAATTGAACAGGGAAACTAGCTGGAGCCCCAGTAAACGCCAAAACAGGCCATTTTTTACTTGGATATCTTTCATTCCATTTTTGAATCATATCATGATGATGAACATCATAATGTAAAGGTCCGTAAAACTCCGAACTTACAAAATCTATATTGTAAGTATCCCAAAATGGGCCGAAAGGGTTTCCTTCTTTTGCATTACAACTTTCAGTATCCCCACGGGGTGTATAACAAAAAGATATTCGTTTATCTTTAGGCCAAATTATCGGTGATATGTCTTTCATAAATTCTTCCATTGTAATAACTTTGTGATATTCTTTAAGATGTTTTACTTTAAAATATGTATCAAAAGGTATTTGGATTGAGCGAGGTTCTCCATAACGATACTCAACCCACGCCGGGAGGACTAGAGTTCTGTTTAAACCATGTGCAAACCCTAAAGCCCCCAAAAAATTATCTGCTTGGTTTCCAAATCTTCCTATAAAATTATTGAGCTTTATTTCTTACATGGATTATTGATAATTACTTACCCATACATGGACAATATAATATATAACCTAATTCATCTATAGATATGCATTTAATACAATTTTTAATTAATATAATAAATAAAGTAATTGATATAATTAGTTTCATTTTTTGTTTGTAAAGTTTTAGTAACCGGAACTTAACCTAAATAAACATAAACACATACCAACTCTAGAATGCAAAATACCTCACTCAAATACAAATAAAATACAAAATTAATTAACGTTTTATATTAAAATAAGATAATGTACTTAAATACACACAATATCATTTTTAAACGTTTATTAATAAATAAATTTTGATTAAAACATATAACATAATAAACCAAAACTCCCTAAGTTCCTTATATGATGTAACGAAAACCGCAAAAACTTCAGGGTGCTGTCAAATGTTGTAAAATAAATCATAAAAATGTTGAAAATTCGTATTCTTACAACCTTTAACAGGCGATTATTGCCGTTTTCGCAAATTAGGTCCGCTTCTGATTGGGTACCCCAAGAAAAAGTGACTCATACAGGACAGGTTAGTCATAAATAAAATCGTGGTGTTATAAGAATTTATTATGATTATTATAGAAATGGGATAAAAACGATTATAGATTAGCCAGATTTATTGGACGACCAAAACACGTAAATCCTAATTTTGCAATTGATTTAATCGATAAAGTTCCACCAATAAAATGCAAAGAACGAGTCGTTTGGTGTGACGGAGGTAGTGGACCTACCGGACATCCGAAAGTCTACATCAACTTGGTAATAAAACGATTAATACACAATAATGTATCTTAATTTGTTTTTATTTTAATAATTTTAGGATAAACCTGGTAATCATGCCTGTGGTTATTGTGGTCTTAGATTCGAATTAGATCATTGTCATTAGTCAAAATTTATTGTAAATGTAAAAAAAAACTGTAATAATATCCTGTATTAATACAAATAAAGAGATTTATTGATTTTTTTTGAGTATAATTCGGAAACGCTAGGACATTTTATTTTTCTTTGGTTTCCTCACCTGATTTTCCGCCATGTTCTTTTGATAAGTTGTGATGTCACATCCTTCATTTCGTTTGTAACCGTTACGGTGTCCGGTTGTAGCGTACGTAAGTAATTTATTACTTGTATTTTTTTAATTCTTTATCCTTCGTAATCAATCACATCAATTGTATTAGCGTTAATAAAACTGTCTTAATAAAGATGTTTTGATATTTAACATTTGAAATTAAGCATATTTTTTGTGAATAAACAAAAACTTTTTTAGGTTATGTTAAGCGTCACTTTTAAATTTGCTTTTTTTGGTAATTTTTTATTATAATTGATTTGATTGCGTATTGTTTTATGTGCAACTCTTTTTAATATATATAGTAGTGTTTAATAAGTTGGGGTGATTTTTTAGTTTCTTTTTGCCGTGGTAAATAAAACTACTCAAAAAACATACAAAATGGCCGACGCTGATGACCTTCTCGATTATGAAGATGAAGAGCAAACTGAGCAGACCGCAAACGAAGCAAATGGAACTGTTGAACAGAAAAAAGGCGTTAAAGGCACTTATGTTTCTATACACAGTTCCGGCTTCAGAGATTTCCTTTTAAAACCAGAAATATTAAGAGCGATTGTTGATTGTGGTTTTGAACATCCTTCGGAAGGTAAATAGATTCATAAATCAATAAAATTATGTTTTAAAATTTCGTTTTTAGTTCAACATGAATGTATACCTCAAGCAGTATTAGGCATGGACATTTTGTGTCAGGCCAAATCTGGTATGGGTAAAACGGCTGTGTTTGTTTTGGCTACGTTACAACAACTTGAACCAACTGAGAATGTTGTTTATGTATTGGTTATGTGTCACACTCGGGAGTTGGCGTTTCAAATTAGCAAGGAATACGAACGGTTTAGCAAATATATGCCTAATATTAAGGTGGGTGTATTCTTTGGAGGGTTGCCCATTCAAAAAGATGAAGAGATTTTGAAGAATAATTGTCCTCATATTGTCGTTGGTACTCCCGGAAGGATTCTTGCCCTTGTACGCGCCAAGAAACTAAATTTGAAACATTTGAAGCATTTCATTTTAGATGAATGTGACAAAATGCTTGAGTTATTAGGTAATTAGTTTGTGATAATATATAATTTTGGATTTTTTTTTATGATGAGAATGTTAGGTAGGGACATCTGAATATATTTTGATAGATATTTAGACCTACACTGAATATTGCGTTTAAGTTAATAAAATAATTTGAGTTTAAAATCATTTTGTTAATGTATATTATTTTTTTGTAGATATGAGAAGAGATGTGCAAGAAATTTACCGTAATACACCCCATGGAAAACAAGTTATGATGTTCAGCGCAACGTTGAGTAAAGATATTCGTCCAGTTTGCAAGAAATTTATGCAAGATGTAATTGACAATTTCTATACTACAAAGGAATCCCACGCCTGCATGTTAGCGGTCACTTGAGCGTCACAGTTTTTCTTTAAAATTTGGGGGAATTAATTCGTTTAAAATTAAATTTCACATATCAAAAAAAATGCACAATACATATAAAAACGTAAATCTTAATTCATATCTTAAGAAAGCACAAAAATCTAAAAAAAAAGCAAGATTTGACAATGGGATTAGAGCGCTGTAGCCCTACGAGTAGGTTCTATGGGTTGGGCTGGGCCAAGAAGTGGATTTTGAAGAAAGAAGATTTTTGTAAATCGAAAAGGGTTTTCGCGATTAAAATGCTATATAAAATTGTATTAAAAATGTCTTGGCTGTGCTACAGTGCTTCAAAATTTTCTGTTACATTTAAACAAATTTTTTCAACAAAAGAAAAAAGTATTTCTGGAAAGTCGCGAGTTTTTTTTTGTTGTTTCCTGTTTTTGGATAAGGTGATGATTGTGTCATTTTGGAGACCGAAATCTGAAAACACATTGTGAGGCGGTGTGCGGCGTCGGGAATCTTTCTGAAAAACACATTCCTTCAACACAACTGTATGTACGACGGAATGATGCATTTTACAAAAAAAAAACCTTCGTAACTACAGTTTTTTTTTTTTAAATTTCTTTTCTCTAATCAGTCATTTTCCCTAATTACTATTATTTTTTTCTTCAAATCCATTAAAATTCTTTGTTGTTTTGGTTTTACTCCTTAATCAAAAAAAAGGAGAATTGATAATATCAATTATAATACCTCATTTCCGGAATTAAACAATGACTTTTTAAGGAAATGAGGTAGTAAACGTTTTTGATTGATTTGCTTTCTGTTTATAGCCCATGGAAGTTTATGTTGATGATGAAGCTAAATTGACGTTACACGGTTTACAACAACATTATGTTAAATTAAAGGAAAATGAGAAAAATAAAAAATTGTTTGAGTTACTTGATGTTTTGGAGTTTAATCAGGTTTGTAATGTTTTATTGAAGAAACTAAATTTAGAAAAATTTAAATGATGTAAACTATTCACGTACATATTGATTTTCTATGATTTTGAACTCTCTCACTGATTTCATTTTTATTATTAAGTTTATTTTAAAATCCAATTTTTTTTTTATTAATACTTTTTTAATAATTTTGAAAGGTGGTTATTTTTGTGAAATCTGTTCAACGTTGTGTCGCCCTCGCTCAACTTCTTACTGAACAAAACTTTCCTGCAATTGGAATTCATCGTGGCATGAACCAAGAAGAACGTTTGTCGAGGTATCAGCAATTCAAGGACTTCCAAAAGGTATTTTTATTAATTGAAACAAAAATTACAGTAAAACCTTGGTATAACTGACCTCGTTAGGATGGATTTTTATGTCATACTATTAATATTATCTATTTAATATATCAGTATATTTAAATATAAACGTTAGCGTTTATAGATTAAACGCAACTCGGGTTATTTCCCAAGTTACTCTATTCCATGTTTATAGATAAATTTGGGGTATTCCTCAAGTTGTTTAAAGAATGTATAAATCAAGGATATTGGTTTTAGTTTTAATTGTTATTCATTGTTGTATAATTTTATTGAACTAAAAGTGGAACTAACACTCAAGAACCAGAAAGATTCGGGTTTTAGTCGTCTTAAGATATGTATGGCAAATGTCTCTAGTTCTAGGTATAGAGATAGTAGTTATTTAAGGTGTGTCCACACATTGCGCGGTGTTCGTCGGACACAATTCTGCCGCGCGCCAGTTTAGACGTATCAAAGAACGTGTGCGCAAGATATGCCGCGCACTTTAGTTTATGTCAAAACAGAGGTAAGATTAAAGTCCCTAGTTTATCAGAGTTCATGCAGCCTGTGTATTCGAAATATTCTAGCCAAAATGACGGTTTGACAGCTTGTCAGTGCATGTCACCCATAGATTAAATAAATATATATACTTATATAGATGGCGTGTTCTCCACCTTTAGATTTAACGCTGTTTTTAGTTGTGACCCGCGATACCAATGGCGCTAGTGAACATGCGCGGGAATTTTTAAAAATCTTTCAAATATGATTTCCTTAATTTTTGAAAACTGCATGATAAAATTAAACAGAAACAATTTTCGCTTATAGCGAATTTGTTTCTGCAAAATTTCAACATACACAGTTATCAAAAAACAATTATATAGTGTAACAGGTATTATAATGTTAATAATAAAACAAAATTTGATAAAATAAATTACATACAAGTAAAACAACAAAATAAAAAAACATATAAAATGAAGTAAAAAAAGTATGTAATAAAAAACTATAATTAAATCACAAAATTATTTTATAAATAAGCATAATTCACTTGGTTGTTTGGAAAAAGACACATATCAACCCCTGATTTTATTTCTTTTAGTTACTCACTTCATTAATCAATCTTAACATTAATAATACTTTCCTTTTCAATCTTCTTGTCACTATTCGTTATAAATAAACTACAAGCCTGCTATAAACAGTTTTTAGATTATTTCTTAGACAACTAAAAATCAAAAATGTGAACATTAATTCAATCGGTAAAGAAGCTGTTCTTGTGTTGTATGCTATCAGCGCCAAAGGTATCACGGGTCACAACTAAATTTATTATTGACGCATGCTTATACGGAATTAACACAGCATGATGTCACCACTTATTTACAAAAATAATGCCGACTTGTTGCCTTTGGAGTTGCAAAAATAGCAGTAAAGAGCAGTAAGAAGGGCTTTCGACTCTTCAGAGTACCATGAGAAAAAATAAATTTCTCGCTTGACTTTCGAGCCAACATAGCGGCAAATCTTCGATAATCTAGGGACTTCTTGTTAGATATAAACAGTGTTGTTAAATACCTGGGTATTTATTTTCAAGGGTAAATTTCCTGGATATATACCCGAGGGTATTTACCCAAGATGGGTATTTAGAGGTATTTATAAAATTTAATTTAAATTGAGTTGATGGCAGTTTTGATTATCGATTATTGTTACACCAAACTTGTTTATAACATCTACAAGAATGCTACAATGACGGCAAAATTACATAAACTTACTGATTGCGAGTAAAACAAGGCGATACAATGTTGAACCCAAATTGTTCATCACAGTCCTGGGGAATGCATTTAAACAACTGGATTGGACCCAAAAAGGCATAAACATTGATGGCAAATACCTAAGTAATTTACGCTACGCGGACGATATAGTTCTTATTTTGGATAGCCTTAGAGAGATGAAACTAATGGTAAACGACTTAAAGGAGGTGTGTGCAAGAGTCGGGCCAAATATTAACGTAAAGAAATCAAAATGTATGACAAATCTTGTTCTCAAGTCTAACATCAACATTGGGGATAATGAGATTGAGAGGGTTGACAGCTATGTGTATCTTGGCCATGAGATTCGTGTATGGAGAGATAATCAAACAAACGAACTAAACAGAAGGACCACACTCGCATGGACAGTCTACGGGAAACTTAGAGACATCTTCAAGAGCGATATTCCTATGTATTTGAAAAGAAAGGCTTTCAATCAATGCTTGTTTCCGCTTATGACATACGGCTCCAAAACATTAACATTAATGGTAGCCACTACCAGGAGGCTCAAAGTAACGCAAAGACCGAAATGAAGAACAACTGATGTGGTCAACATTGTTGCAAAGTACAACAATTGGATTCAGACAGCACAGAATAGAATCGAATGGAACAGAATAGGGGAGGCCTATGTCCAACAATGGTTTGATGATAATAATCATAATGACTTGATCTGGTCTAAATTACGGCAGATTCGTCTGATGATAATGTCTTCGATTGTTGACAATTCCTCGTCTTCAATGTCCATTTCATCATCTTCCTCTTCATTTTTTTCGGAAATTGATATATTTTTACTTGTATCACTTTTATACGTACTGTTTGGGTATTTACCCTGGGCCGGGGTAAATACCCGGATAAATGCCCTTTTTATAAATACCTACCCGTCAGATATTTACCCAGCGCCCATCACTGGATATAAATGATGCGCCATCTAGTAAAAGACGAGTCGAACCCATTCAACTGATAAATTTTTATACCGAACCTCAAACCGGCAAACCAGCAAGATAAATATGATGGTAAAACACGATTTTTGCGCTATTCGTTAGCTGAAGATATCAACCACTTTAATTAGAGGCGGTAAAAGTGGGTCTAAACTAACCTCATCCATTTACATTGCTATTCTCTTCTCTATTGCTTTTTCGCCTATACGAACTTAAAAGACTTTTCATTTTAGCCTTTAATTCCTTCTTAGGAAGATTAAAATTTTCGGCTATTTCGTCCCGTAGGTCTTCACCTTTAATTTTATTGTAGTATGTAATCTTTTTCTTGTGGAGCCCACAACATCTTCAATGATCCATATACCTCAATTAAACGAATCGATGTTTCGTTATCCATCTTTTTGTATGCAACATCACGTCCACACACGATTACCCACGAATGTTTACTGCAAATGTTCGTTAGCAATAGCTGCAACACGATACGCTGCGCTCGTCGTCGTCCAGATATCGCGCTCGAATACCGCGCAATGTTTGGACACACCTTCAGAGTTATACTGTTAGAAGTAGAAAGTTTCGGGTTTAGCTGTGCGTCTGAAGACGGGTCTAGTGTTGTTCTAGTTTTGCATTCGCATTATAACTAACACAATACCTAGAACTAGAATCATTCAGGTTTAGCCGTTTTTAGAGACGTGCGGCTAAATCCGAATAATTTTGCTGTCTAGTGTTAGTTCTAGTTTTGCATTAGCTCTATAGCTAACACAAGACCTAGAACTAGAATCATTCGAATTTACCCGCACGTCTCTCAAGACGGCTAAACCCGAATGTTTCTAGTTCTGGGTCTAGTGTTAGTTCTAGTTTTACACTATCACCAGAACTAACACAATACCTAGAATTAGAATCATTCGGGTGTGAGCGACGTGCAGCTAAACCCGAATATTTCAAGTTCTAGGGTCTGTTGTTAGTTCTACTTTTAAATGTTATACAGCGTTTTTTTTTGAAGTGCAAATTAAAAACTTTTCATAAAACTAACATTTGGCCTTAACAGACACTACGTTAATTATATCGAGGTTTTACAGTATTTGTTATTAACTATTAGTTTAAGTAATTATGATGAGAATGTAGGTAGGGACATCTGAAAATTTATTAATTGTTGTAAGAACCTACACTGAAATAATAAAAAAGACTTTGTATCTAAAATATGAGGTTGGATCTGTTTCAGTTTTTTAATTTCTTTATTTTTTTTAGCGAATTTTGGTTGCTACAAATTTATTTGGACGTGGTATGGATATTGAACGAGTAAACATCGTTTTTAACTATGATATGCCTGAAGATTCTGATACTTACCTGCATAGAGTGGCTCGAGCTGGTCGTTTTGGTACTAAAGGGTTAGCGATTACTTTCGTCTCTGAGGAAAGTGACGCAAAAATTTTAAACGAAGTTCAAGATCGATTTGATGTTAACATTACAGAATTACCTGATGAAATTGACTTGAGTTCTTACAGTAAGTTTTTTGTTATATTTATATTAAATTTAACATTAATTTTTTTCTCATTGTTTTACAGTTGAAGGAAGATGAGATGGTTAATGATAATTAATTTGTACAATTATAGTTTTTACACGTTTTCTTATTTGATAGTTCCAATAATTGTCACTTGTACTTCTTTCTGTGAATTAACAATAATTGGTGTTTATTAGTAATAGATTTTCATTTATTATAAAATATTGCTGTGTAGTAAAAGTTTTTTGTTTTTTTTATTAAGACAACCTACTGTGTAGGAGTGATTAAAAGTAATAAAGATTCTTTTAAATAAACAACCTCGTTTTATTTAAAAAAGAATTTATTAATTGATTTCCCTAAAAGCCCCTTAAAAATGTTATAAGTTATGTTTGTGATGGTGCTAGTGCAAAACTAGCACTATCACAACCTGAATGTACCTAGGTCTAGTGTTAGTTGTTATTCAGAGTTACATTGTTGTCTAGCTTTATTGAATCAAAACTAGAACTAGGAAGTTTCGGGTTTAGCCGTATTTCTAGGGCTAGTGTTAGTTCTAGCATTGTTTATAAAGTATATAGTTAGCTCATCCAATGCTTTTATTTGACTCCACGTTTTTAGTTGATAATATTCTCCAGAGGTGGCGCACTTTGTATTAAACTTCTTAAATATGACGTAGTAGCATATTATTTACAGATTGTGAAATAATGCCATCTATAAATCAATGCCGTAAAAACAGAACAAATTCGTTCGAGAGAGAAACGAATATTCAGAAAAGGATAGTATGTTTCTCCTACTGGCTAACCGACTATGATCACCTCGTGTGTGTTTAATAAAAATATTCTTAGAGCAATAACAATTAAAAATAGCCAAAAACGCTTGAAGAATGATTTGTGTATTATGGAAAACATAAATACGAGAAAAAATATGTGTTTTATCAATGAAGAAATAAATAAATAAATACTTTTTTTTTGAAAGTTATTGATTTTTTCACCAGTAAAGTTTTAAAAATAATGTTACTTAAAATTTATTAAACTAGCAGAATAAAATGATAAAATAAATATCACACAGTTAAGGAGCCTTAACAAGTTAAAATGTAAATAGGGAAATTAGGGTATGGATTGGATGGATTTGATTTGTTGAAATAATACAATATGATGACTGTAACCATTCTCTATAAACAAAGCTGTAACTGAGAGAAAAAATTTATTATACATAAAAATAAAAAATATAAATAAAAAGTTAATAATACAATAAAAAAATTAATTATGAGACAATATATTCATTTTTTCTGATTTATTATTGGTTTGTTTGTTTAATAAATTAACTTTCTTACATTCTGAAAATAACTGTATTTTGACTAAAATATCCAGAAAAGACTCCAAGTGATTTTCGTAATTTACAAAGTGGTGGTCAAACTTTTTTTTTATAGGATATTAAAAATTTTTTTAACTAAACGTTTCCTGACGCATCTTTTATACAGATAATTGTGAATATATAATCTAAATTGAGTTAGCG